CACGGGGATAACAGACTAGTAATCCTCATCACGTTGCAGGTCTTGTGTAGAGTATCACTCTCATCACAGCCTACCTCTCAGTCTCTTGCCAGGTCCCCTGCCTCTTGCACTTTCCTGCCAAAGGTGTCACTTAATCATGTGCCCATCTTTGTGCTATTCAGCCTCTGAATCTTTGTAGTAGTAATCTAAACATTTCTGAAAATCTTTCTTGTGGGTATCTAGAGAGTTATGTAGACATTCTAAGAATCTTTCTAGTAGGTATCTAGGCATTCTGAGAATCTTTTTAGTAGTTATCTAGACAGTCTAAGAATCGTTCTAGTAGTTATCTAGACATTCTAATAATTTTTCTAGTAGTTATCTAGACATTCTAAGAATCTTTCTAGTAGTTTTCTAGACATTCTAAGAATCTTTCTAGTAGGTATCTAGACATTTTAAGAATCTTTCTAGTAGGTATCTATACATTTCTTAGAATCTTTCTTGTAGGTATCTAAAGAGTTATCTAGACATTCTAAGAATCTTTCTATTAGTTACCTAGACTTGTAATCAGAGTGCTGTAATATCAAATATTTGTTACATCACTGAAGCTCATGTTTTGTGAGATGCTCTAGGCAAGTGACTAACTATTTTTGGGGTTTCCATGGCGAAGGGGTCAAGCCATTTGCCTCTATGGAGATTCCTGTGGAGTGTTGCTTGAGCTATGGTGTTCATTCTGTTGTGGTGCTGTTGGCAGGCAGCAAGCTATACTGCAGAGAGAGGTGAAGCCAAATGGGATATAAAACCTGATGCAACGAAGTCAGTTCTCTCAACTTAAACATTTACTTTAACTTTGCGGAGAGAGGCTAAGCCTGATGGGATATAAAACCCAAGTGCAGAGAAATAATCTTCTGCATTTAAACTTGTTATTTGTGAATAAAATCTTAACACTGTGAACAGATCGGTTTCCAGTCATCAACAGCCTTGTACAGAGAATCCATTTCCGCAGGAGGAGAGACTCAATTATCGTAGCCCTCGTCATTGCTGTTTGCATCATCCTTCTAATACTGTATGCTTTCCACTGATGTTCGAGATCATCACAATTGTTGCTGTCGCAACATAACCATCTGACCTCGTCCTATTTTTGACATTCCACTTCTTCGTCTAGTTTTGGTCTTGCTATGTATGGGTAATGATATATTGGTAGACCCT